TCCCCCCTCCCCAAGATAGCATACAATCTGATATAGGCTCTACGTATACATACTTATTAAATATATTTTCACATTAGTCATATTGTAAAGAAGAATTAGAATGAATGGGAGGAACTAGGAGGAAGAAGAAACAAAACAAAACAAAAAAAGAGAAAGTAAATAGTATGTTTCAATCTGCATTCAGACTCCATAGTTCTTTCTCAGGATATGGATAGCATTTTCCATCATGAGTCTTTTGGAGTTGTCTTAGATTTTGTATTGTTGAGAAGAGCTAAGTCTATCAGAGTCAGTTATCACACAATGTGGCTGTTACTTTGTATAGTGTTCTCCTGGTTCTGCTCACTTCACTCAGCATCAGTTCATATAAGTCCTTCCAGGTTTTTCTGGAGTCCACCTGTTCATCATTTCTTATAGCACAATAGTATTCCATTACATTCACATACCACAACTTGTTCAGCCATTCCAAAATTGATAGACATTCCCTCAATTTCTAATTCTTGGCCACCATAAAAAGAATTGCTATAAACATTTTTGTGCATGTGTGTCCTTTTCCCATTTTTAAGATCTCTTTGGGATACAGCCCTAGAAGTGTTATTGCTGGGTCAAAGTGTATACCCCTTGGGCATAGTTCCAAATTGTTCTCCAGAATGGTTGGATCTGTTCACAACTCCCTCAACAACATATTAGTGTTCCCATTTTCCCACATCTTCTCCAGCATTTATAATTTTCCTGTCTTGTCATGTTAGCCAATCTGTTAGGTGTGATGTGGTACCTCTGAGTTGTTTTAATTTGCATTTTTCTAATCAATAGTGATTTAGAGCATTTTTTATATAATTATAGATAGCTTAATTTCTTCAGATGAAAACTGCCTATTCATATCCTTTGACCATTTATCAATTGGGGAATAGCTTATATTCTTATAAATTTGATTCAGTTCTCTATAAATTTTAGATATGAGGCCTTTATCAGAGACATTGGTTGTAAAAATTCTTTCCCAATCTTCTGCTTCCCTTCTAATCTTGGTTGCATTGGCTTTGTTTGTGCAAAAACTTTTGAATTTAATGTAATCAAAATTATCCATTTTGCATTTCTAATGTTCTCTATCTCTTGTTTGGTCATAAACTCTTCCTTTCTCCATACATCTGCCATGTAAACTATTCCTTGCTCTCCCAGTTTGCTTTTAGTATCAGCATTTATATCTAAATCATGTACCCATTTTGACTTTATTTTGATATACAGTGTAAGATGTTGGACTATGACCAGTTTCTACCATACTGTTTTCCAGTTTTCCCAGTTTTTGTCAAATAGTGAGTTCTTATCACAGAATCTGGTGTCTTTGGGTTTATTAACTTAAGGCAACTCTTGAAGACATTAGCAAAGAAAGTGCCAATCTACATTGGTACAGGGAGTTTTCTCGTCCAAAAGTTTTCTATACCAAAGAAAATCGTGGGTTTAGTCTTTATCCCTATTTTATTGTTTGGAGCCTGGGGGGAAGCTTATTTATTGCATAAGAGACTGAGCACTCAACTCCAAGATGTGTGCTAATCATTTAGAAGAATTTCTACATCCAGACATAGAAAAAGACTTCTCAGCAAAGTTAAGTAGAGACCAATATTGTTGTTATTATTGAGCCAATTACACGTAGCCTCATTGTCCTCTTAACAGTATAATTTTGTATTCAAGTGTCTGTAACTGAATAGTTAGACTGTGTCCCAAAGGCCTTATCTTACTAATTGTAATAACAATATGGCAGATGGAATAGCTGTCGGTAGTATCAACACCACACACAGTCCATTTCTTAAAACATGTTAGTGACCCAAAGTAGAAGAAAATGTTGTTGCTGTTGTTGTAAAAATTGAAAACTGCTCTTCACCCTATCCTATGGCTGCAACTCCACTGGGGCAGCTAAGGCATAATAGTATATTCTATTCTATATCCTTTCCCCAATTTCTATTGACTGCTTGGATAAATGGATTTACTTGCTATTTCTTATTTGTGATGGATTGTCTTTGGTGTAATCCCTTCTTGGTAATAAAGACTTAAATGGTGAGTGTAAAGCTTACTCTCCCTCTTAAAAGCAACCAGAGAAGTGGCTTTTCTTCTAAACTGACACATACCCCTAGAACAGAGATAGTTGAGATGGTGCAGATAGACATAATTTTACCCCACTAGTCTTCTGGAAGACTGGATCAAAAAGTGCTTAAGACAAGCATGTAAGTTTACACATTTTGAAGTCATTTTATATGGAATAAAAATGAAATCCCTAAAAAGCCTCAAAGAAGAGATATGAGAAAACACATCACCTTTCTCTTTTGGGGTCTATGGAAAAGTATGAAACATTGTACATAGCATCATTTTGGAGAGGGGGATGTATTTAATGAATTTGCTGGATTTTTTCCTCCTTTTCTTTCTCTCTTTTAAAATTCTTAATAATAAAGAAAGGCTGCTTGGGATGAGGAGAGGGAAGGATGTAGGGTAAAATCTAGGCAATGTAAAACAAGTCATGGTCTATTTTTAAAATAAAAGGAAACTAGAACAATTCTTATCTTGCCTTCTACCTCATGACTTTGTCTTTTCTTCACTTCCCATTTCTTCTCCCCTCTCCTCGATTTGCTAATCTAAATAGTGGTCAAATCATGAAAAGGACCCAGTATTCTCTACTACCAAACTATACTGGCATTCTAACCTTCGCTTTTCAAATGCTATTCTTATAAGACTAATCAGACTGAAGTGAATGAAGGCATTTTCAAAGGAGGTCAGTGGTGTAACTTGCAAGGAAAAGAATATCTTTTCCAGGTCTTCTGGGAAGAAAGCATTCAGGGATTCTGCTGTCTTTTGTGATATCACTAGGGGGCAGATCTGGAGATAAAACCAAAGTGAGGCTTATAGAAAGGATGCTAGTACTCCCTCTCCCACCCTAATAATTCAATCTAACAAGAATTTATTCAGTGCTTGCTATGTGCAAGGCCCATGTTAAGCAAAGAGGAAACAAAGGCAAAATTTAAAATTCCTGCTTTCAAAAAGCATTCATTCTACTAAGAGATGAGATGAAATGAATAAGTGCTTAAATAAATACGTGATAATCTGTGAGGGGAGGGAGGAACAGAAGGGTAGAGGGGGGGAGAGGGAGAAGGCTGGAAGAGAGAGGGGAGGAGAAAAAGGGAAAGAAAGAGAGGAAGAGGGAGAGAGAGAATGAATTGAAAAGAGAACAAAGAAAGACTTCTGATAAGAAGTAGTACATGAGCTGGGATTTGAGTGAAGTAGAGATTGTAAGAGGTGGAGGTGAGTAATGTGTTTATAGCCAGGATGAGAATAGCCCACAAAGCATCACAGAAGCAGAACAAGAAACTCTGAGTTCAGGGGATCAGTAGATCAGTTTGGCTAGAAGATAATATATGTGAAGGGGAGTAATAAAAAATGATCCCAGGAAGGTGAGGTGGAGAAGTCAGGATGGCATTTGCCCTGCATTTCGACAGGCTTTGCATCAGTGAAGATTTTTGTATTGATCAAGTTTTAACCTTCACCGGTGCTAATGACTGAGTTACAACAGGCTCTTAAAATCAGGATGGTTTGCCTTTTTTTTTTCCAGTGGAGAGAGCTATAATGAAATTACTTGTACAATTTCCATTCTCATTGTGAAACAGTGATTTGAGAACTAACTCCATAGGTAAATCCCATAATAATTTTCAGCATTATGCTTAAAGTGAAGTTTGAACAGCAGTATTTGTGAGATATTTTGGTATGATCAGCCATCTGTCTCCTGGATTTATTAGACTGCTTCTTGATAAGATTTTATGTTTTACAAAACCAAGTTTCTACTTGAATTAACATGTTATTGTAAACCTCTGTGTTTCTCCACAAAGCATATTTTCTATCTGCATTTTTATATCCAGTTCTAGGTTCTCAATATGACTTTCAAAAATCTATAAACCATGGTAATAGTGACATTCATCTTTGTGAACAGACAGTAAACTTAGCCCCTTCCTTTCACTTTGCATTTTGCCATTTTGTTAATTCCTTGGATTGTTACTATGGTAGATTTTGAGCCCAGGGAGCAAATGTTGATGAAAATAATTGTCTAGCATTACTTACTCACTCACTCACTCTCTCTCTCTCTCTCTCTCTCTCTCTCTCTCTCTCTCTCTCTCTCTCTCTCTCTCGTTCTCTGTCATTTGCTTATTTGTGAAGAGTAAAGGAATAAAGAACTAACAATTAGGATGATGATAGTATAGAAAACATGATTTGAAAATTCAACAGAGGAAACACAAGTATAAAAGTTGAAAAAAGTTATTACAAAAATTACTGAAGTAAATAAAATTCTTGGCAAAAAATTTTCAGGAATTCTTGAGGTAGTATTCAATAAAATTGGTTCTTATACAATTCCAGGAAATATATCTTTAGGATTTAACATAAATGGGAATTCATTAGTCCCAATTAGTATCTGATATATGGAATCATGGGAAAGAACTGAGAGATGGTCTGCAAAGATTAATAGTTGGAAAATAGGCCCTATTAGGAAAGGTTAAAAAGAACTTATGTTCTGTCTGAACAAAAGAAGGCTGAAGGATGATTTAATAATAACTTTTGAGTATTAAGACCTCTTTGCATAAAGGATGATGGCCAGATGTTCACTATCTCCTCTGAGAACCAACAAAATTAAACATCCTTAAGATACATGCAGCAAGAGGGATTTAGGTTAGCCATAATAATTTTCTCACAGAGGAGATTGTTTCACTTTGGAATAACAGGTCACTGAGGAAGATTGTAAAACCTCCTTCTCTGGGGTCCCTTAAAAAAAAGTATATTCTCATCTCTCTTATTTTCTTTTTAACAACAATCCTTTCTTAGGCAATGGGATAGATAAAATAATTTCTTAATGTCCTCTCTAACCAGAAGATTTAATGAAAATGTCATTGAGATAGCAATTATTTGGACTATATGTATATATAAAAGTGTATATTCAGTTATGCAGATAAAACAAATTCTTTGTTCTTTTTTAGACCATCAGTAAAGTTCTACTCCAGTATGCTGCAATTGTCTGCAACGACTTCAGTTCTTACTGTGATAAAGAAAATGTGGTGAGTAAAAATATCAGCGTGTTTCAAAAGCATTTCAGTTATTCTTTTAAAATAATCATTAAACAAAATGAAAATGTACACATAAGATAATTGTTCTACTTTCTCCTCATTTCCCTCCCCTCTTCAAAGTATTTTCATTTGTTCACTTGATTTTCACTTGGGAGTATAAAACCAAGAATGGGGACCAGGAGGCGGGGGAGGAGAATGTGTTAGTAATAACAACAACAACAGCTGACATTTGTGGGGCATTTTAAGGTTTGCCAAGTTCTTTATATATATCCTCTCATTTACTCCTCTCAGCAACCCTGTGAGATAAATATAACTAGCATTATTATCCCCATTTTACAGTGTGGAAGTAAAGATTCAAAGAGTTTAAATTATTTGTTCAGGACCACACAGCTAGTCTGAGTCTAGAATCAAAACCAGGTCACACATGACTCCAATTTTAGCCCTCTTTCCAGTCACCATGCAGGGTGGTTAAACTAGACCACAGCTATTCATCTTGGTGCCTAGGAAGAAGGCTAGACTTGGGGTCAGCAGCTACCTAGATGCAAATCCAGACTCGAATACTTATTGGCTCTGTGACTCTGGATAAGTCAATTAATCTTTTCCTTTATTTCATCATCTGTAAAAAGGGAAATAATAATACCTTTAGTACATCTACCTCACAAGATTGTTAAAAGAAACAAATAGAACCACGTATTAGTATATATTACATAATATATATTATATATTAAGATATAGCTTAGTAGATAATGCCATTTATTTTCACATATAGTCCCAAAAATCTTAGTGTAGTTTTAAGTTGTATATATAGTCCTTAACAAACATTAACAAACAAAATATTCCATAAATGTCAGCTGAGAGACAATATAGAGTAGTGAAGTAAAGTAGTGCCACTTTCTCCTCATCAGCCTTCTTTAGGGCCAAGGAAGAGAAATGAGAAGACAACTGTATATGCAGGCAAAGTGACCTTCCCATGTTCTGCTGGCCTTGGGCAGCGGCACCAACTGCTGCTAACCCATGAACAGCTGCACCAGCTCCATGGCGGCCTCATTTCCTAGCTCCATCTGCCTCCCTCTACTCCTTTTCATGTTTACCTGACACCCTGAGGGTTCTGCTTGCTGCTGCCTCATCCCACCTTCCCACAGACATGTCCCAGATAAGAATATCATTACTTGTGTAAAGCCATAATGCTAACCCTCTTTTTTACCTTTTTTTTTTTTGTGAAGGCAATTGGGGTTAAGTGACTTGCCCAGAGTCACACAGTGAGTGAATGTTATATGTCTGAGGTCGGATTTGAACTCAGGTCCTCCTGACTCCAGGGCTGGTGCTCTATCCCCTGCACCACCTAGCTGCCCCCCGCCTTTTTTCAACCTTTCAGTAATGAGGAACTGGATTCAAATCCTAACTCTGACATATACTGGCTATGTGATTCTGGTCAAGTAACTCAGTCTCTAACTATTCCCAGGCTATTTTCTAAGAAGATAAATTGCAGGGCAGATCCCAAGCTGCAATGGCTGATGTAGTTCCCTTATTCAGATTTCCAGTGAAATCATAGCTCTAGTATGGAAACAACAACCATATCACCTAATATTACTGAAAACATACATATTTAAATTTATGAGTTAAGTTTGATTTCCACCTTTTGTCTCTAATTTTTGTAATTAGGATGTTTTCCCTCTTTCCCTGTAAAGGTAATACTTTGTTTCTTCAGATATTTTTGTTAAATCTGCTTTAAGGCAGCTCTCTTCTTACTGGCTCTCTTCTTACCCTCAAGTCACTTCTTCTGTTTATAACCCTATTCCCTAGTTTTGGAGTTTTAATTAACTTGTTCATTATTTTTTTCTTTCTTCCTTTTATCTAGCAATCTAATTCTTCCCTTCTTTCTTTCCTCTAAGTAGTCAAGTAAACCTTCCTTTCTCCTTTTTTTCAACTTGTTTGTTAGTTTTAGTTTCATTTTTTGAACTTTTTTTTTAAAAAAGCATTTCTTTTACCTATTCTCTTCATTATTTCTCTTTCTTTGTCTAGTCTAGATTTTGTTCTTATAGTCATCATTCTCATACTTATTTATTCCTTCTTTAGTCTCTTTATTCCTCAAGGGATTAAAGCTTCTAAGATTCCTATTTTGAGTTCTTCCTCTAAAGTTTGTACATTATAGCCTTGTATATCTTTCCCCTACTCCTCTTTTCCTGTTTTGCTTCACTTTTAGAAATGCCAATTCCTGTAGGAGATAGAAAAGAGAAATACTGCCTGACAGAAGGAATTTTCCTACCATCATTTCCTGTATGCCACTGATTGTACAGTTCATTACCACTCATTGCCTTCTCCTACATCATTTTCCTCTATTTGTCACAAAATCTCTTCTCAAGGTGCAAGCCTTCCCACTCTTCTAGATGTCAGTTATCACTCCCCCCTTCCCAAAAGCTCTGATTTCCCTTCTCCTGAGAAAGGATGCTGTCCATAGTGACATGACACTTTCTCAGAGGTACTGATCTCTGTAAGTACCAAATCCCTGCAGATTTGGTAGGGGGGAAGAATACTGGGAGACATTTGGTGATGTAAAATAGCAACAATGACAAAATTTTAAATGATAAAAAATTATTTAAAATATACACAAAAATAGCCATTTCATGACAATCATCTCAAGATTTTTAATGGTGATAAGTAAATAGAAAGAGAGCAAATAATTGAAAGCCACATATAGCCCCAAATATAAATACTTCTGATATAAATTACATGTGCAATTCAGAGCTGAGAACTAGGGAGTTTAGATTTGAGGCATAAGCCAAAAACAAAACAAAACTATATTCTGTTTTCTACATTAAACCCAGCTCAAGGTTCTCAGTACCAACATGATTCACTCTTCTGTTTTTATGAATGAGATTGGTGGTAAATTTAAAGAATGAAATGGATTTTATCCCTGAACAATCCTTAGTAGAACTAAAACTTTTAATAGGATTGAGAAAATGTCTATAAGATCCAAAGCAATCTTATGAATTAAGGAAACGTCTTGTAATTTCCTATATAAGATCAACTAACAGTTTTGAAATGAAATCATGCTTATTAAACCAAAAAGCATAGCTAGCATAGAGAAAGGAAAGTCTTAGCACTTGGACATGTTTGAATGTAATCACTCAAAAAAGAACCAATAGAAATGGAAATTTTCCATAAATGTAGAGGAAGGTTAGGTATCTTGTTACACAAATTAGTTTTTAATTCCAGGAAAGGAGAAGAGATGCTAGTCTTTTTATTGAAAATTCAATAACATCTCATTGATACTTCACAAAGATGTCTCAATCTTAATGGTTCTTGGAAATTCTAAAAGAATCTCTTTCTTTAGAAAGAAATCCAAACCTCATGCTCTCTCTAAACTTCCCAGCTGTTGTGAGCTGGGTCCCTTTCCTGGGTGGGGAGGCATCAGCAACAAACCTACTGGCAAGAAGTAGAAACAACAAGACTTATCTGCCCAGCTACTGTGTCCTAAGGTCCCACTGACCTTACAATATTTTTTGCCATTACACTCTCCAGTCACTTGGCTGCTGCTATCTGACTTGTAGATGTACCATAAGGACTTTTGGGCCTTGATACTCACCATACCACTGAACCCTTAGGACTTCTGGGTCTTTCCATCTGTTTTAGAGATGATTTTCTCTGTAAATGTATTGACTTCTCCAATGACAGTGGGATCTCTTTAAGTTCAATGATTGGCTCACTTTTCCATTTGTATTCCTTGGACTTGGTACTGGTATTGCTCTTAATACTTAATTTAGAAACACTTAATAAATACTCTTTTTATCCACTCATTCCTCTAAAGTGTATGTGGTATCAAAAACCTTCATAACCTAGCTCCATCCTACCTTTCCAGTCTTTCTATACCTTAACCCCCACCATATACTTTTCAATCCAGTGACTCTGGCTGCCTACTTATTCCACAAACAAGATACTGCATCTCTCAATTCATTCACTCTGTATGTCAAAAACCCTAGAATGCTCTACTTCCTCTACTCCAACTACTGACCTTCCTGGCTTCCTTTTAATACCTACTAAAATCCCACCTTGTACAGGAAGCTTTCTCCAGCCCTTCTTAATTTTAATCCTTTCCCTCCGTTACCTATTAATTCTGTATATTGCTTGCTTTGTGTATATCTGTTTGCATTTTGTCGCCCTGATTAGATCATAAGCTCCTTAAGGGAAGGGATTGTCTTTTGACATTTTTTTGTATCCCAGCACTTAGCACAGTGCCTGGCACATAGTAGCTGCTTAATAAATGTATATTTATTGATTGATTGAATCCATGGAATTTTATGCAGAATTTTAGAAATCTCAACAATGAATAGCAGATTATATTGATAACAGCTCCTTTAGTATGTGATATAGTGCTATTTAATTAAAAGTAAATATATTTTGATATGTTACTTATTCTTTTTATTATTTCAAAGTTTCAAAGACCTGCCATCTAATAACATGGGCACATTAATGATGATCTCAGACCCTTAGATAGTTTAATATCAGCCTTGTAATGGCAGAAAAATTCATCACCCTATGGCCAACCTAGGAATGAGCCTGTTGGAATTTATTTACATTGGTTTATGGACAACAGACATGTATAATCCATCGCTTGGCCTTTCTAGCTTGATAGGACCTAGGAAGGCATGCATTTACATAAATCAACAGCATAGTCTTTAGGAACCCAGGGTCCTCCTACACACCACACTGGGACACCAGAACACTTTAGTGTCAGAATGATTTTATTAAATAAGTTAACATGTAGACGTATATTTCAATAATAATAGTAGTAGCTAACATTAAAATAGAACTTTAAGGTTCACGAAGCATTTCCTTACAACAAATATCAAATATTATTATCCCCTTTTATATCATTTATTCAGTAAACACTAAACACCTTTTGTATGTGCAGAATACTGTGACATATATGTGTTATGCAAGTATTATCCCCATTTTGCATATATATGCATTTATTCTAAATATATATATATATATAAAACCCAAGTAGAAAGAATTACAAATTTATTTGAAATTCAAAATAAATTCTCAGAACATCCTTATTCTAATTTTATCAAACACTTGAAAGATTCCAAACTGAAATAGAAAGTGAGGCTATGTATAACAGTACTAATTTTGGTAAGCTGCAAAGGAAACCCAATTTTATTTATTTAGACTCATCCCATAGTTAGTAGAGTCCTGGTGTCACTGTCTTTGCATATTCATGAGCAGGTTGAATGATTTGACCTCTAGGGTTCCTTGGTCAAAATAATATCATGACTTCTTTCCATTCCTCTCCTTCTGCCCATCTTCCCACCCCCCATCTCCATTTTCACTCAGATCTGGATGAAATAGTTCCCTGACATCTATATATAGGCACATTATTCTTGAAATAGTACGTATACCAGAAACTCCAACACAAAACTTCCCCAGGGACTGTATCATGCTTCATAAGGTAGCAGTTTAGCTTAAGCAGACTAAAGGGATTTCCTTTCTTAGGTTTACTTCTTTGATTATCAATAGTATTTATTATTCCCAGTTGCCTGGATAGTACTATAATAATGTTGATAATAAATTGACCTGAAACCTTCCACTGATAAGTCACTCTTCTGAGATTACAAGAACTCACAGATGTTCCAGTACCTAGCACAGTATTTGGCAGACAGTAGGCATTTAATAAATTCTGGTTGATTGAGTGACAGATTTCAGTTGGGTCTAAATTGATCAAGAATATGGGGTACCACATCCAGAGAAAGAGCTGATGGAGTCTGAATGTAGATTGAAGCATACCTTTTCACTTTCTCTGTTGTGTTATTTTTATGGATTTTCCCTTTTCTTCTTGCACAACATGACTAATGTAGAAATATGTATAATGTGATTATACATGTATAACCTATATCAGATTGCTTGCCATCTTGGGGAGGGGAGAGAGAAGGTGGGAGGGAGAAAAACTTGGAACTCAAAATCTTGTAAAAAATGAATGTTGAAAACTATCTTTATATGTAATTGGAGAAAATAAAATACTATTTACAGAAAAAAAAGATTTTCAATGTCAAAAAAAAGAATATAAGGTACCCTAACTTCTTTATTAACAATAGGATGTTTCTACTTTAACATGTTAGTTTTAGATTTGACTCAATTGTCAGTCCACCTTGCAGAAGGAAAGATTTAAGCAGAGGCTTGAAGGAATCTAGGGAATCCAGGAGGCAGCGATAAGAACCAAATGATCTTTGCTACAGCAGTGTAAAGATAGTCCAAATATGGACCATATTCCTACTCCCTTCCTCCTCCTCCCCCACTATGATTATTCCTAAGTTCTAGAAGCATTCCAAAATCTAAACTTTATCATTCAGATATGAGCCCCATTTTGATTCTGTTAGAGAGGAGGATTAAAAAAAAATAAAGCAAAATGGGATTACAACTAGACTCCAAAGATAGTCATTTATTTTATTAATAATCTTCTAGATATGTTTCTCTAGCTTAATCCATCAATTGTTATGAGCCCTCTGAATTAGATTAGTATTTCTTTTCCTGTTTTTCTCATTTGATATAAAGGGGATTAGAGTAAAAGCTGTTTCATGATTGAGGTTAAGGTAGATTTGAGTTATTCAATTCCTCTCAATGTTGAATCATCAATTTAATTAAATAAAGATGAAATGCAAATGCATCAAAGTAAGGCAGTACATTTTAAAATATTTTTAAAATTTTAAAGACTGGGGTGAATACCAAACTAATGTAGACAATCAGCTTAGCTCATTGTAGCTCAGAACTCCTGAGCTCGAGAGGGCCACCAGCCTCAACCTCTTTGTTAGGTAGAATCATAAGTATTGTACCTCCACTACTTGTTAGGCACTACATTTTAAAAGAAGACCTGTCAAAGTTGTATTGATCTCCATTTATAAATGTGATTATTTGTATATATAATTTTTAAAATATCCACTCACCTATTTGCTTTGGTTGAGCAACAATTTATGGCAGGAGAGTAGAAACAACCACTGATTGGACTAATTTTATTTTCATTACCACAAGAAGATCTGACTCTGGTAAATACTGGCTATGTGACCCTGAAAAAGCCCCTATTAACACTAACCTCTTTTGAGCTGGGAAGAAGATAAGTTCCAGGATCTCTGTCTTCCTTTTGAGTATCAGTTGGCTTAGACGGCTTCTCTCTCTCTCTCTCTCTCTCTCTCTCTCTCTCTCTCTCTCTCTCTCTCTCTCTCTCTCTCTCTCACACACACACACACACACACACACACACACACACACACACACACACACACATGTTTTGTTTTCCTGGCTATCTCCATTCCATGGCCATTCCATGTCCACTCAGGCCATCTCCCCTTATTCTCCACTGGCAAATTGGACTTTGCCCCTGGAATCAACCTTGGCTCTAATAGGGCAGTATGGGCTTTATCTTGTCCCCTGGACCCAGAATTCTGTAACATTTCCTGGCTATCAGTGTACCTTGCTCCCTACTCTTTCCAACTTCCCTTTATGTGGTGTCTTCTCCCATTACAATGTAAGCTCCTTGAAAAGGATTTCTTTCTTATATTTGTATTCCCAAGCACTTAGCACAGTGGCCTGACTTGTAAGTGCTTAATGAATTCTGTATCTAAATAACTACCAATCTACTCACCAATATATGTATATGCTATTTTAAATTAATCAAACTATATTTCTTCAGTTCCTCCTAATTTCGAAACACTATATTAGATTCTTTGATATGTCCCAGAAATAGTCCCTACCTTAAAAAAAAACTGACAATGTGTGTGGGGAGTTCATAAATAAACAAAGCAAAAACAACTAATAGTATAAAGTGGCATATGATAAATATCAAACTCATGGGACAAAAGCAAGAGAAAATAGTATGGGCTTTACTAATAAGAGAAAATTTCATGTAGCAAGAGAGATACATGCTGAGTCTTGAAGGATAGGAAATAGGTGGAAGATTATTCTAGGTGGAAAAAAAAAACCAATGTGAGCAGTGGTACAGAAGTAGTACTGCATAAAATGTGTTGGAGGGATAGTAAATAGACCAGTCTAACTAAAATGAGGAATTGACATAGAGCAACAGTGAGAGATAAAGTTGAATACAGGTGGGAAGCAATTTGTGGAAGGGCCTTGAATATATACTCTGTCCTGCAGCCACTGAGGATTCATGAAACATTTTAAAAATTCAAATGATGTTGTAAGAGATACATTAGAATTAATATTTTACATATTCACTGGATATCCCACAAGCCTGGAATTCTCTCCCTCCTCATTTCTGGCTTCCTTGGCTTCCTTCAAATCTCAGCTAAAGTCCTACCTTCTGGGGAAAAAAAAAGCCTTTCCTGGTCCTCCCTCAGTCTTTGTGCCTTCCCTCCAAGTTTATTTTGTCTAAATCATGTCTGTATATAATTTTTTCATGTTGTTTCCTCCATTAGTCTGTGAGCTCCTTGAGGACAGAGACTCCCAGTGCTAAGTAGCATCTCACATATACTAGACACTTAAAATAAGTAATTGTTGATTTCACTTACATTTATTTCTCTTATGTCTGCCCTGCTCTAAACAGAATGTTATTGGTTAATTAATGTCTAGCTAAGGAATATTCTCTTTTTTTATTTTTTTGGGGTGAGGCAATTGGGGTTAAGAGACTTGCTCAGGGTCACACAGCTAGTAAGTGTCAAGTGTCTGGTCTAAAACCAAATTTGAACTCAGGTCCCCTGAGTCCTGAGCTGGTGCTCTATCCACTGTGCCACCTAGCTGCCCTCTAGGTAAGGAATATTCTAATGCAAGGAACAGAAGAAGTCTTAGCAGCAAGTTTTTCTTGTTCTAAGGATATCAAAGGATACTATTTTTCATTCTCCAAACACTTCTATGCATTATGTTCTTTCTCTTACCATCTTTGTCTTAAGACTTATTGTGAAAAGACATTCATGAAAGAGATGATTGGTTAGAAAGCAGCCCGTTCATTTTGCTCAATTTGCTGAGTACTGCACGGTAATTTGCCTGTATTTCCTAAATTCACGAATTTAATGTACTTGATAAACGCCCTCTTACTCCCTTTTTTCTCCTTTGCAGCCCTGTATTTTGATGAACAACATCCAACAGTTGCGAGTCCAGCTGGAAAAAATGTTTGAATCCATGGGAGGGAAAGAGGTCGGTAATCCACCCCACCCCCACCCCGCTGTACTCTATTTAGAGATCATTAGCAACACAGGTCTTTACAAAGGAAAGCATCATGGTCAAGCAAGTTCTCAATTAGTTTATCAGGAAAGAAAAAAAATGATAAACTGAAATGCTAGTAACTATGGGGGGCTTATTTTTAAACAAATGTAATTCAGTATTACCTAAAAAAGTCATATGATAGAAAATCAATTTAGTTCCAGGGGCAGGAGCAGGTGCAGGTGGGGGTCTTGTGGAGAGACTTGTAGCTTTCTGGTGTATGTATGTATATATGCACACATACATAAACTCATATGCTAATGATCTGTAAAGTTTTCTCCTATTATAGATGTTTAATGTTGTACTCTGTAGTGCCAGCTTGATATTAATGTTGTTATTGGATTCTAATTTGTGGTGGTAGTGTGTGTATGTTTTTAATGTTTCAATGGGATTTGTTTACATCTGAAATTCGCTGTCCAAAATGTGCTTTGTGCTTTGTAATTTGTCATGTCTTTGTCCAATACTTTTGACTCGCAATGCCCTGAGCAGAAGAAAGAAGGAGAAAGATTCTCTTATGAGGTTTGTGATAGTAAGCATCTTGACCATTTTTTTCTAAAGTAAAAAACCATGCACTCCCTACTTACTGATTTTTGCTCACGTAGCTCAGGCAGATCATTTAAAACTAGCTGCATACCTTCCCCTTCCTGCCACCAGCATCACCCTCCCCAGCTTAAAAATGGGAAGGCTAATGTTCATCTGGGGGTTGGAAGAGCTGTGCACAGAGAAAGAGCCATTGGGGAAGTGGCTTTGTTCCCTCTACACTGACTACCAGGCAGGGGCCTCAGCTATGTGGCCATCATTCAACAACAAAATTAAATCATTTGTAGTAATAACGAATATGTGAAATGTTTGAAAACTGAATTTAAACTCTAATACAGGCAGCTAATCTTTCATAAATTAAAGATGCTATAAAACTCTTCTTCAAGGATCTCATCTCTTCTTATGGGATATTGTTTCTAATCACAAGTGGCACTTATGTTTATTCCCATCTCAATATCTCTTCCCCCACCTCCATGAAATATCTGGTTAAGTGCTGGGCATTGGGTTCATTTTAACACTACATTTTATAATTAGAATCAAATACATGAGAAACATTGATTTCTGCATGTCATGGGGCAAAACTTTACAAAGGACTTTTTATGAACTACATTTCCCCTGCAGTGTCTGTTCAATTTAGATAAAATAAGGCTCCATTCCCCAAAGTGTTAACATTTTGCAAGCTTTGAGAAAATAAATCTCATCCTCAAATTCTCCTGCTGAATTAGATATTCACAACTGTAAGATTTCCCTTTTCATTGTAGTGATCGGTTTTATATGCAGGATTTAAATATCTTCATTATTTTGGGATGTCTTGGAGAAATTACTGATTTCTTGTGGGAAATCCTATCTCCTCCTTCATGAATTTTTAGGACCACAGATCTTTTAAGTTTTAAGCTATATTTTAAATGTCATCTTTCCTCCTCAGAGCTGCTGTTTATTTGTTAACCTCAGGGTTCAGCTTCAGCATAAATAACATTCCATAGAGCCATGTATTACCCAAGATGATGTGGGGAAGGGAGAAATCCTTTATTTATTAAACCATACTTAACAAAAAGTCATGGGGTGTAGAGTAATAAGTGCTAGAACAGTATCAGGATTTTTTGTTGTCATTCTGTCATTTCATCATGACCAATTTTTCATGACCCAGTTGGCATTTTTCTTGGTAAAGATGCTGGAGTGGTTTTCTATTTCCTTCTCCAGCTCATTTTTACAAATGAGGAAACTGAAGCAAACAGGATTAAGTGACTTGCCCAGGAACACACAGCCAGCAAATGTCTGAGGCTGCATTTGGACTCAAGAAAATGAGTCTTCCTGATTCCAAGCCCAATGCTCTATTCAAGATCCACCTAGCTGCCCCATTATCAGGATACCTGAGTTCTATTCCTGGCTCTAGCACTCATTACTTTAATCTACTAAAAATCATTTCTTAAATGCCTACCGTGAATCAGGCATTGTACTAGTCACTGGGGATACAAAACAAAAATGAAGTAGTCCCTCTCTGCCCTCAAGGAGCTTATGTTCTCTCTAAGATATATTGACTGTTGGCCTGTGATCCATTGAACAAGTCATTTAACCTCTGATTTTCATTTGTCTCACCTGGAAAATATAGGCATTAAACTAGATGACTTTTAAAGTCTCTCTCAACTCTATTATTTTATGGTAATAATGATTCTTTGCATTTAAAGTTAAAATTTATAAAGTTTTTTGCATGCATTATTTCATTTCACCCTAGTAACCACTTTGTGAGGCAGGTAATAAATATTAATATGGAACTTAAGATTTACAAAGCACCTTCCCCATGACACCCATGTAATGTCACTATTATCTTTCTTATTTTATAGATCAAGACATTAAAGAACAGAAGGGTTAAGTGACTTGGCTGGGGTTACACAGTGAATAAGTACCAAAACCCAAACTTGAGCTCAGGTCTTCTGATTCCAAGGCCAGTATTCCTTCCAATATGCTAGCTGTATAGGAGTAGAAAGCTATTTAGTATAGGAGACTGCTTACTAACCCAAAATGATGCACTCACTTCAACAGAATTCTTTAGTCACATCTGTTCCAAATTTAACTGTTAATAGTTAGTATACTTCTGTCAAACTAAAAAGGATCAGTTTCTTACCACAAAAATGATGAAGTAAACAAAGTTTATGTTTCATCCTGTCCTTGTACCTTTCTCATCCCTATATCCTCTGCTCATACACAATTTGAGAACCCTCTCCCTAAAAAAATCCTCTAAAAGAAATTTAATGTATTGATTGGTACATGTTCCACTTCTTTATTTGTTAGAGACACAATGCTAATTATCTTCAATCTCTCACACTTCTCCCCCTACCCCCCACACATTTACATGAGTCTTCCATTTATCCTTTGCCTTCTCTCTTCCTATATCTCTCTTTCTACTGTTATTGTTTTTCTTCTTCCCCTCCATTTCTTTCTTCCCTGAGATAGAAAACAGATAAAGATATGAAGTCATGTCAAGGGAGTGAAGCTTTTAGTAAAACAGAATGAATTTATTCAAATCTGAATATATTTTGCTCACACATTTCTCCCATAGAATTTAATTGGAACAAAAGGAAAATAAAACCTTGAACTTTGAAAGTGTTTTTAGTTGTCAATTTTAACCCAACCCTCCTGCCCCATCTTCCCCACTCAAAAATGTTTTTTTACCCTTATAACGCTCTCACTGCCTTCCACCCATCAGATAAGAATATAATACACAGTGGAAAAAGGCAAACTAACTGTGTAGAAAACTATTTATGCTTTATTTTCACATTTCCGACTCCTTTAGATTGTAATGACCCATAGGCATGATCACACTTAAGAATTGCAAAGTCACACCATGTCACACTATGTGTCTTCATCTTCTCTCATCCTTATTTCCCAACACTCCTATTTTTATATAGATGACATACAGTAGAAACGAGTGTCAAGGGGTGTATCAATGGCGGAAAAGAAGGAAGATGACACAAAAGAATAGCAAATAGCCTTGGATGGTAGGAGAAGAATATAAGAGGGTATAAAGGTACATTTTTGTCAGTTAGCTAGATTATGTATACCTCATATCACATCATCTAGTTTATGTGTACCTAGCACCACCTGATGGTGCTTGCTTCTTCTTCTACCTATTTTGCCCCTTCTCTCTGTCTTCTCTAGCTTAAGCCATGTGGTTCCTGCAGCTCTTCCCCAGAATTAAATGCAATTTGCAACAGCCTAGAAATAGTTCTTTCTGTAGTTCAGTAGCTATAATCTATCTTCATTATTGAATAACAAAATTTTTCATTTATTTCATGTATTTTTCTTTAATTAAAACAAATTTCTGAAAGGACTTCTTTAGGGTTAAGGTTCCTGGAGATCTCATTTTTATGGGATTATTTTTTAACATTTTAAATATTTATTTTAGGTATATTTAAATACATTTTTTTTCTAAATTCTTGCTGAAGTTCCTTTCATTTGTTTGGAATATTGATGGAGGGAGAAGAGGTCTGGAGACAGGAGAAGAGAGAGGAAGAGCTCTTGACCTAATATTTTCCATGTTCTCCAACCCCAAGTATCATCCCTCACCCATCATCATCAATAGCAATCACTATGGAATGTCCATCATTGTAACCTATAGGCTCTGGGATTGCAATGATGTATAAAGCAAAGTCTTGGACCTCAAGTAGCTGACAATTTAGGAACATGGGAAATATTCTTAAATAAATAATAATACAATGCAGTAAATAATGCATGTCAAATTATAATAAATACTTTAGGAGTTTAAAGGAAAGAGGAATCACTGAGTGTTAAATGAACTACCAAGAGTTTTATAAAGGAATAAGACCTGAGCCTGAGATTGATGTCAAGATGAGTGGAAATGAAAGAGCAGAAATAACATGCAAGGGGAGAAAATATGAGTTTAAGCTAGAATGTACAGATGGTGTGTGGGGTTTTTTTTGGGGGGGGAGAATAGATGGGAGTTATCAATTTGACTAGAGCAGAGGGTTCATACAGGGGAGTAATGGTAAATAAGGTTGGAGTAATGTTGTTGTATAGGGCCAGATTATGGAGGTCCTCATATGCTAGACTTTACTATGTGGTCAGTGAAGGCCTGCTGCAAGTTTTAGAGCTGGGAAGGTCCATAAGTAAGTAATGTTTTCTGGTTGGTAATCTGGCAGTAATGTGTAGGATGGAATAAAGGCAGTAGTAGAGAAGACAAAGGACTCAGTTAAAGACTTTAGAAATTCCACTTTACTATTTACCTTAGGTTAAGTGAAGATTCCAACTCTATCTTAGAAGCAAAACAGGAAGGTTTTATTCCTTGAATTTTTTGCATCTTTCAGCTAAAATAGGAAAAGGACCATATGGGAATATTTTCTTTTCTTTTTCAAGTTAGGAGTTGAGTACTTTATGCA